GAGAAGGAGGAGGAGGAGGAGGAAAAGGCGGCCGAGGAGGTGCAGGATGATGATGATGATGATGATGATGATGATGATGATGATGATGATGATGATGATGATGATGATGATGATGATGATGATGCTGATGTTGATGATGATGATGATGATGATGATGATGATGATGATGATGATGATGATGATGATGATGATGAGGAGGCGGAGGCGGAGGCGGAGGAGGAGGAAGAGACGGCGGCCGAGGAGGAGGAGGAGGAGGAGGAGAAGGAGGAGCAGGAAGACGATCGAAAAGGATCGCTCCTGCTCAACGGGGGTCGAGGGGGGCCGCTGGAGCCACCCTGGGCCGGGGGCACCGCTGGCAGCCTCCCCCCCGAGCGGGACGTGCAGGGGGGTGCGGCGGCCGAGGGGGCCGGAGCGGGCTACAATCGGACCTACACCCCTCCTCCTCCTCCTCCTCCTCCTCCTCCTCCTCCTCCTCCTTCTCTGTTTTCGAGTTTCGAGCTGCGACCGAGCCTCCTCACTATCATGGCGGAGCGCCGTGGGCGACCCTCCGCCCGGCATCGGCGAAGGGACGGGCAGCGGATCGGGCGCTGCCAGGGAAGGCGGCGCAAAGCCAGGGGTCTACACCCTGCGAAATGCTTAAGAAATCATGGGTTCAGAAATTCATAGTCTCAGAACTTGAATAAAGACCCAAAACTTCCATTCAAACTCATAGGATTATTTACATTGAAACGTTAAGAATAATCGAGACTCTGGCCGAAAACGTAAGTTTTCTTAAGCATCGCCTAAGGTGTACAATCGGACCTAGGCCAAAAGAACATCCCTCAAGAACATGAGACCCTCCGCCGGCCAGAACAAAGATAACTTCCAAGGGTACCCTCCCCGAATCGAGCTCGATGTCATATCTCGGTCCGGCTTTACTCTGGCACCTCATACTACGGAGGGTGGGTTGTGATGACGATACGGTCAACGCGCGTAGGAAGGATGAGACGGCGCGGGCTCCTCTTGCATCTGATGAACGGAGGGTGGGCGGTGATGACGAGACGGTCAACCCGCGCAGTAGGAATGAACAACTTTCAAAGGCAGCCCTTTCATCCTTCCCCTTCGGCCCATCCTTAGCCGCTTTCGCTGGCCTCGTCCCGCTGGCAGCGCGTCGGCATGGCATTCCAAGGCCCTTGCAATGTGCATCGTGCGTCCTTAATTACACGGATTGACTGTAGTGGTGGTGGCGGTGATCGCCACCCACCACCATCACTCACCGCGTTCGCAGTATTTCTGTCACTGGCCATCGTTGTCGCCATCGCTGTCATCATCAACAACTTCACATTTACTATCCTACTCCTCCTCGTCATCATCATCACCATAGCCATCATCATCATCACCATCACCATCACCATCATCATCCTCAGTATCATTATCATCATCATCACCATCATCATAATCATGCTCATGACCATCATCATCAGCATCATCATCGTCCTCGTCATCACCATCATCATCATCATCATCATCATCATCATCAGCATCATCATCATTATCATCAGCATCATCATCCTCATCACCATGAACAGCATCATCGTCGTCACCACCACCAGTATCGCCACCATCAGCATGATCACAATCATCAGCATCAACATCATCATCGTCAGTAGCATCACCATCACCATCACCATCACCATCATCATCATCATCATCATCACCATCATCATCATCATCATCATCATCATCATCATCATCATCAGCATTACCATCATCATCATCAGCATCATCATCATCATCATCATCATTATCAACATTGTCACCATCATCATCGTCGTTGCCGCCGTCGTTGTCATCATCATCACATCATCATCATCATGATCATCCTCATCCTTCTCAGAATCATCAGAAACATCATCATCATCATCATCATCATCACCATCGCCATTACCACCATCATCACCACCATCATCACCCTGACCATCACCACCATGATCATCATCACCATCATCATCATCATACCATCACCATCATCACCATTACCATCATCACCACCAATCATCATCATCACCATCAGCATCATCAACATCAACATCATCTCGGGGATGGACAGAACCCCCTTTAGCAAAACGTGGTTTAGTGAAAACGACTTGGGCCCAAACCCGGCGGGCGCAAACCTGGAAAACGACGGCCACGGCGCCCTCTCGAGAACCGAAAACGGACAATTCACTAATCGACGTGTCACTGTTGGGGGTTCTGTCCAGCCCCGATCATCACCATCAACAGCAGCAACATTATCACAGATAACATCATCACATTCATCGTCATCGCCATCGCCTTCGTCATCGTCATCTTCTTCATCATCATCATCAGCAGCAGAAGCAGCAACATCGCCACCACCATCGCCACCACCGTCACCATCGCCGTCACCATCACCATCACCATGATCATCCGCATCCTCATCCTCATCATCGTCCGAAGGAAGCCTCCTTAGCATCATCAGTAGCATCAGCAACATCATCGTCTTCCTCGTCCTCGCCGTCCTCATCCTCCTCGTCCTCCTTCCTTTATCTTCTCGGAACCGTTGTCGCCGTGGCCATCCTCGCACGACGACCTCGCGCGAGCCCGCGCACCCCGCCCGCCTCCGGGACGCGACACTGCCTGCTGGCAGCACCCCTTCCCACTTGCCCTGCAGGCCGAAGGAATCCCCGGCGCCACGATCTTCGCACGTGCTGCTTCCGATGCTCTTCGAGCTGCTGGGAGGCGCAGGGTCCCCGCAGGCGAACAGGACCATCCACGCCCGATCCCCCTTCCTGTGGCACATGGTGCACCTCACGTTGGCTTCTCGGGCCCCGGAGGAACATCCTTTCAAGCGCCATCGCTCCCATCATGGAGCCCGTTCCTTGCGTATTCGCGATAACGCCCGTAACTGGCCCCAGGCTCCCCTCATTGGTCACGTCACGATTCGCGCGGGCGTCAGGGAACTGGCCATTCCGAAGAATTCCCAGACGGCGCCGGCGCGAGTCGTGACGTGACCCGGCTAACTCCCCCCCTCCGCCCCCCAGTCATCGCCAGGAGAAACCTACAAAAAAAAACGTGGCTATCGAACACGTTGACCACCAACGTGGGAGCGAAGAACGCGTGGCAGGCCGAGGAGCGTCGCACGAGACATCGCCGAGGGCGCACGCGCCTGAACGGAAGCACTCGCCTGACCTGGCCGATGCCTGCGGCGGAGAGATCTAAACAGTTTCCCTCATTGCGGGCAAGACTCGTGTCCATATCCACTGCAGCTTTGAGTTTCGGGCTCCCTTCCCCATAAACCCGAGGCGCACTGGATGTGGGTAGGAGTCGGGCCCCTATAGGGGCTCGCTTTTTGCCCATGTCCAGTGCGCCTCGGCCTTGCGGTGCCCCTTCCAAGAAGTCAAAAACGCGCTGGATATGAATATGAACATTGCCCGCGCTCATGGCTATCGCACACACTGCTCACCGACGTGAGAACGTCGGGGACCTACTGCCCCGGGTCACTGCAAACCTGGGTCAGTGGGGCTGTGCGGGATCCTGCAGGGTCCTGCGAGCTAGCCCCCAGTCAATGCAGCCCTGGCTTTGCAGGATCCTGCAGGATCAAGCACTCTGGCTGACCCCCCTTTCTGCACTGACCCACGTCTCAAAGCTCCCGAGAGCGAAGACCGCCTGACAGGCCGGGAGCGCCACACGAGAGGTCGCCGAGAGCTCACGCGCCCGAGCGGAATGCCCGCGCCTGGCGTGGCATAGGCCGGCGGCGGTGACAGGAGGGAAGTGCGCAAGGACGCCTCGAGGTCGCAGTGTGCTTCTCCAAGGCACAGCAGTTGGTAGTAACCAATCAAGACGCCCCTGAGAGGCCCCCAAAACGGCTCCCAAGAGGCATCCAAACGGCCCCTAAGAGGCCCCCTCGCGACATCCCGACGAACATCGTAGAGACCTATGACCCACAACCCAGGCCCGGTGGCGGGAACGGCGGAAGGCCACTAGATGAGCTTTAACAGTCGATGACAACGAGACGCACTGCACATCAAAGCGGACAGCGTTCAAACTGACACGTGTGGGGCCAGGCTCTGTGAGTCACCACGAAAATAGAGGAACACATACCAGCACAAACATAAACGTTCGGCGCTCCGCGCAGATTTCTCAGATCTGCGCTGGACCCCCTCCCTGGCGCCCGGAGCGCGCCAGGGGCGGCGCCGGAGGCGCCGCCTGGGGGGCCCAGCACCGATCAAAGAAAACCGCGCAGCGAAAAGTTATGTTTATGCAATGTTTGCCCCCTTCGAGAGAACTCGGAAAAAAACGGCGGCAAGCCCCGGGGGGAAGTGAAAAGGAGAAGGCCTGTTTTTCCTCCTCTGAGAAGCTGTTTGGGCCTCTCCCGAAGGCGCAGAACACTTCCCAGAAGGAGCGAGGGCTTCTCAGAGGTCGCGCCGCCCTCTGAGAAGGCCTTCTTCTTCTTCTTCTCATGTCTAGAGGGAAAACAAACCTCCCTCGCTTTTGACCACCCTCGCTTCCAAGAGATACCAAACGATGCCAAATTGCAGCCTGTACTGGTCAGGCCGCTTGACGAGGAGGCGCGTGGTATGACTTGGTTTTGCCTGGAAGCGAAAGCGGGGGAGGTAATTCACGCTCTGAATGTCCCCTCCTCGCTCGTCGCCGCTTCGAGGAAGACGACCTCGAGGTCGCGTAGCTGCAGTGCCCGAGCGCGGCGCTGCTCGGAGGCTGCAACTCCCGAGCGCTGCGCTCCTGCCTCCGCCTCCTGCTCCCGGGTCAGTCCTCCTCCTCCCCCTCCTCGCGCCTCCTCCTCGCCCTCCTCCCTCGTTCTCCTTCCCCCCTTCCCTCTCCCTCTCCTCCCTCGTTCTCCTTCCTCGTTCTCCTCCCCCGTTCTCCTCCCCCCTCGCCCTCCTCCCTCCTTCTCCTTCCCCCCCGTCCCTCTCCTTTCCGGCTACGTCCACTCCCTCCTCCCCCTCCTCGTGATGCTCCTCCCCCTCCTCGTGGCCGCCGCCGTGGCAGCGGTCGCCGTCGTTGCTGTTGTCGCTGTCGTGGTCCTTGTCGTGGTCATGGTCGTCGTCGTCTTCGCGGCGGCGGTCGTGGTCGTGGCCGTGGCCGTGGCCGTAACCGCGGCCGTGGCCATCGTCGTGGTCGTCGTCCTCGCGGAGGTCGTCGTCGTCGTCGTCGTCGCTGTCGTCGTCGAGGTCGTCGTCGCTGCGGCGGCCATGGCCGTGGCCGTGGTCGTCGTCGTCGCCCGCCGGCGCCCCCCAGAGGCCGCGGGCCGCCCGCCCCCCCCTCCCAAGGGGGGTGCGCGTGGTCGCCTGCGAGCTCTCCTCGAGCTGCCGGGAGGCCACGAGCGCCTCCCGCGGCAGCAGGGCGCTGCGTGCCAGGCGCCGCGAGCCCAGTGCAACGTCCCGGGGGTGGCGAGAGGTGCCCCCGAGCCCGAGGCAGAGAGCCGAAGTCAACCCTCAGACGAACGACACCAGGACAAAACGAGGCAGCCTGGCAAATGCACCCCGGGGACGGAATGGAGCATGGCCGGGCCGTTTAGGGAACGACCAGGTCCGTGTAGTGCACAACGATCACGAGGGTCGGGGTGGTTTGTCCATCGCTTGACAACATGTGGATTCTCGCTCCATTTTGGAGCAGGGGCCCCCGTGGGCCTCGTGAGCGGTTCTCTGGAAGCCGTGGAGGCCGTGGCGTGGGAATCCACGAGCGCCTCCCGCGGCTGCAATCACGAGCGGCGAACTTAGCCGCATCCGCGTCTCGCGTTCTGGCTTCCACGGCGCGATCCCGCGGATACGCGGTCGCACGGATGCGTTCAGCGTGGGGCATCCGCGAACAAAAAACGCCCCGCGTCAACGGGGTCGGAACCCATGGGCCCAGCCCGCCAGGCCGCGGATACGGACAATATTGTTTTGTCGCCCGGGAAACAATGGGCGGCAGGGTGCTTAATTGACGTGTGGAGCGCATGACCAGCAACAACTATTGCGCTATGACCTACAGTCGGGGCGCTGACCTAAGGAATCCTAAATAAGGAACGAGGCCCCTTTTTTCCATAAGTTCACCTTCGATGTCCTGTCGAAAACATAAGGAAAGCCTGAGGCAAACTGTGAAACACTTAAGGAACGCGGAGCCCCTCCCCAACGAAACGGGTTCCTTGTTCAGGGCCCCGACTGTAGGTCCACGGGGCACCACAGATACCGCCGCACAGGAGCTGCCGCGCGCAGATCGACTGCGATGGACTCGACAGTTGGACAAGGGCGAGTTGAGCCAGCGGCAGCTCGGATCGATCCTCGGGCTCCTCCTGCAGGGTGCAAACGTACCGGTTGTCCGAGCTGCGCCCAGCCGTGGCGACAAGCCCTTCCCACCCCCGCCAAAGTCCGATCACCCTTGCTTCACCTCGCCCTCCTCTGGTCAACAACCACCTCTCGACGTGCGCGACTGCCACATGCTGACGGGCAGGCTGAGCAAGCAAGGGCTGCGGCGCCCCCCTCCACACCCCCGGCGCCTCTCGAGCAGCAGCCAGCCCAGCCTCGCGCGCGCGCGTGGCGGCTCGAACTGTGAGCATCTGCCAAGATCCTGCACCTCTCTGGCGTCGTGGTCGCCACCTGTCGTTGTCCGTTGTTCGTCGTCCTCGTCCGCCGTCATCCGCCGTCCTCCGTCCCCGTCTCCCGTCGTCCCTCGTCGGCCGCCGCCGCCATCGTTGCTGTTCGTCGCTCGTCGTGATCGTTGTCGTGGTCGATATCTGTCACTCGTCACTCGTCGCTCGTCGCCCGTCGTCATCGTCGTCATCGTCGTCGTCGTCAGTCGTCGCTCATCTGCTGGCGTCGTCATGGCTCGTCACCCGTCCGTCGTCGTCACTCGTCACTAGTCGTCGTCGTCGTCGTCTTTGTCGTCACTCGTCATGCGTCGTCGTCGCCGACACCGCCCAGTTCCGTCGCACCGCCTCCCAATCCCAGCAGGAGGGAGGACAAGGACAAGGAGGCTGACAAGGGGGAAGTTTCAGTCGGCCCAACCCAAGCGCGCAAACCGCTGCTATCGCATCTCATTCGGAGATCGGGGGGTACCAACGGGCGCGCGCCGAAAGTCACTCCGGCGAAAGGTCACTCTCACGTGTGCCCATCGGTCGGAAGGAGTGGGTAGAAACATGAAGTAGGCAGGTTGAAGGTGAATTGCGCTTCTGCCCGCCCCCTGAAGAGAAGGAAAGAGGAAAGACTGCCGGATCCTTGTAGTGGGAAGGCGCCTAATGTATATTGGAATATGGCAACCCAGAAGTCTGCCACCGTGGGGCACAGAGTGGGCGTGTCCTCAGGTCTTTCGCCTACTCCCTGGAGCCCAAGTCCTCAGTCCTGAGGAGTCTCTGAGGGGCCCAGACCCAAACTTCTCGAATCTACCGACTTTTTCTGCCAGAGGGCCCCATGATGGGCACAAAGGGCCCCAGGAGGCCACCATAGGTAGGAGCAGCTTCGTGGGTGTGCAGGGGCTCCGGAGGGCTCGCCGCTCTGGCCATCGGGCGCGACTCGGGAGGCCCTTGCCGTCCGTGGCTGAGGAGGAGGAGGAGGAGGAGGAGGCGGAGGAGGAGGAGGAGGAGGAGGAGGGAGGAGAGGAGGAGGAGGAGGAGGAGGAGGAGGAGGAGGAGGAGGAGGAGGAGGAGGAGGAGGAGGAATGCCTGATCGCGCGGTTTTGCCGATATTGGTGCTGGCATAGGGGAAGCGGGTCCTGAGGAAAAGGGTCCTGGGCCCCGGGGCCTTCCCCCAGAATCAGGTCTTCCTCCCAGGTCGTTCTCTGACGGTCCTGGGGCTCATGGAGGGCCCTGGGACACCAAAAGCAGCGACTAACCTCTGGCCTCGTTTCCCTCAGGACCCGTCTCCCCCATGGCGAGATCTCGGTGGTGGTTGTCGTCGGCAGTGCCTGGAAATAAACAGAACAAGGGCGGTCGCGATAGATGGCAGAGGAAGCCCGGAAGGGCGCGAGTCTCTTCCGCGGGCAGTCCTCGCTGCAGCCATTAAGAGGGCCTTGAACGCGACAGACAGGACACAAGGGTACCCTTGGTTTTGCAGGAGCGACCTGCTAATCAGACCCACCAGTAAGCGCAGAATGGCAAGCAGTCCGGCAGGAACGGAAAGGAAGGCAGACATTGAACCCTGTTTGGCCTCGAGAGCAACACACGATGCCAACGGGAGGCTTCCTCCTCCGCCCCCTCCTCTTCCTCCTCCTCCTCCTCCTCCTCCTCCTCCTCCTCCTCCTCCTCCTACTTATCTTCATCCTGCTCCTCTCCTTCTCATCCTCTCCTCCTCCTCCCCTCCCCCTCCCCATCCTCATCCTCGTCCTCTTCCTCGGCGGCGCCACAGTGGCCCCGAGCCCACGGCGAAGCAGTAGCGATCAGGCAATATGGACCGGCGGAATGAGTGAAGCGATTGAATAAAGGTAGACGTTGTGCGGGCAATATTCACGTCCATATCCAGTGCTTCTTGGACTTTTTTGGAAGCGGCGCCACAAGGCCGAGGCGCACTGGATATGGATAAACATCGAGCCTCTAGGGGGCAAACTTATCCATATCCAGTGCCACTCGGGTTTCTTGGGAAGGGAGCCCGAAACTCCATACTGCAGTGGATATAGACAGAAGTATTGCCCGCACGATGAACAAGTACAAGTACTTAGAGGTAGGAGTACGAGTAGTAGTATTACTTGCAGTCGCACGGGTAGCAATGGTAGTTGTAGTGGCCGAAGTAGTACGGTTGGCATCTGGAAGACAGCGTGCAACATCGATCTCCGCAACGCACGCTGCCCCTGCGAGGCGATCCACCAGCGCGCGGGCCACTTCAATGCACGTCATCCCCCTGCTTGGGCTTTTTCGGTGCACGCGACCTCCAAGGTGGAAGATAGCGTGTTCAATAAGCGGGCCAGCGGCGCCGCATCGCACGCCTCTTTCCAGCGCCGGCCGTAGCAGTGATAACTAGCTAATGGTGGCAGTTGGATGGAGGTGGCCGGGGGATCTGCGTTGGACGGGCCCCGAGAAAATCGATCTGGCAGCGGGGATGAGAGCAACTCCGCTCGGAATCGGCTCCTGGACGCCCCCTGGGGTCCAGCCGGTGCAGCTTTCCACCCCCGATCCGCCTCGAGACAGCCCATGGGGCCCAATGGAGCGGCCCCCGGGGGCCGAAAACACGGAGCCCCCGTCTTCCGGGAGCAGGGCGCCCCTCTCCGCCTCGTCGCCGGAGCCTCTGCTGGGCCACCCGAGACCTCCAGCCGGCTCCTATAGAGGCCTACACCCTGCGAAATGCTTAAGAAATCATGGGTTAAGAAATTCATAGTCTCAGAACTTGAATAAAAACCCAGAAGTTCTATTAAAATCTTGAGATGTACATTAAAACGTTAAGAATAATCGAGACTCTGGCCGAAAACTTAAGTTTTCTTAAGCATCGCCTAAGGTGTACCACGAACCGACCCGGCAATCCCAGAGGCCTACCACGAAATGTTCCTAGAACCCACAGCTGTCCTAAGAACGGGAGCACAGCGTTCTTAGAACGAAAGCCCGACGTGTTAGAACAGGACGGTCTCAGCCAGCAAGGTTCTGAGAACCTTTCGTGCACACCACAGAAGGCTCTCATTGAAGGCCTGGAAAGGGGCACCAACACCAACACAGGGGGGTGCATCCACAGGGGGAAGATGCTCCTAGATTTCGGTGTTGGTGGTAATATGTCGGTCCGTCGGTTATCTTGGAAGCCAGAATATTACCATCATCACCGAGATCGGGATCTTCTTCCCTCGGTGGAGGCACACCGCCGATATTGGTATTGGCGTCAACCTCTAGGCCTGCGATCTTAGAGCATCCTTTGGCGGGCCTCTATAGTCGAGCCAGGACGAATCGCCACTGCTGGAAGCCCGTGCTGGGCCACCCGGGACCCCTGGAGGGCTCCCAAGTGGTGGTCGTCGTCTGCGCCGCTGCGCCCGCGAACCAGCCTGCATGGCCTCCAGCTCCGCCTCCAGCGAGCCCCGCTCGGCCTCGCGCCTGCGCGCGCGCGCGGGCGGGGCGCGCGCAGCGGGGGCGCGCGGTCTGCGCCGGGAGGCGACGGACTACCTACCAGACCCACCCCAACCCAACCCGAAGACCCGAATTTCGGGAGGGGGTACGTGTTTCATCATATGCAGTTGTTCAATGCTCCCCGACGCCCCCCCCACTGGAAATGGAGGGCAAGCTGAAGCCTTCGCGTTGGGTTGGGGTGGGGTGGTGCATGGGTGGTGAGCGACCAGGAGGGCCACTCCCATTCGGGGATGGACAGACCTCCCTTTAGTAAAACGTGGTTTAGTGAAAACGACCTCGGGCACAAACCTGGCGGGCGCAAGCCTGGAAAATGACGGCCGTGGCGCCCTCTCGAGAACCGAAAACGGACAATTCACTAATCGACGTGTCAGGGTAGGAGGTTTGTCCACCCCCGACCCATGCGCCCATGCGGGCGCGTCCACGAGGTGGGGTAGGCGGCGACATCCGAACCCCAGTGGAGGTACACGGCTAAAAGACCACTTGGAAGGGGGGTGCTCGGGGATCCACCAGCCCGGGTCAGCGGGAACCTGGGGTCCGTCAGGCCCTGCAGGATCCTGCAAGATCCTGCGGTCTCCTGCAGGATCCTGCACGTTGACCCAGGTCATGGCAGCCCTGGCTCTGCATGATCCTGCAAGATCCGGCGCATTGGATGACCCCGTTTGCATTGATCCCCGTCCCTTCAGCCCCGGGACGTTGAACAGATCGTTTCGCCGGTCCCATGGCCCCCGCCATAGCTAGCCGAGGCGCCCGGCAGGCGGGGCGGGCAATGCGGGTTGGCCCCTGAGCCGTTTCGGGAGGCCAGGGGGGGCCCGAGGGCTGAGAATTCGGAGCGGCTGGGGTGGCGGCTGCGGCTCCCTACGAGGACGAAGTCGCGGACGACGACGATGACGACAACGGCGAGCTGCAAAGGCCCGATGGGTGGGGTTGGGATACTGTGTAAGTGCCTTGCAGTCCTGGGGGGCGACGACGGACGACGACGACGACGACGACGACGACGACGACGACGACGACGACGACGACGACGACGACGACGACGACGACGACGACGACGACGACGACGGGGGAGGCGACGGCGGCAAACTGCAGATGCCCTATGGGGGAGGTGCTGCATAGGCGTCTTGCGGTCCTGGGGGGCGACGACTGAGGATGAAGACGACGACGACGGCGAACTGCGGATGGCATGCACATGGGGGGGAAGGAACGGTGGCGGGTAAGCGTCTTTCAACCCTGGCAGACGACGACGACGACGACGACGACGACGACGACGACGACGACGACGGACGACGACGACGGCGACGGCGAACTGCGGATGGCATATTTTTTGGGGGGGGGCTGCGTAGGCGTGCGCCTTGCAATGTCCATGGTGGACGACGACGACAGACAATGGCGAACTGCTGCGGATTGCATGTTGGGCGGTGGGGTGCTGCGTAGGCGCAGTGCAGTCCTCCTGGGAAAAACTGACGACGACGAGGACGAGGACGACGACGATGGCCTGAGGGCTGACAATCCGAAGTGGCGTCCCGCCTCCCTCCTCCTGCCTTCCTCCGCACCTACCATCTGACCATCTGCAATGCGGGCTTGCTTCTGCTAGGACGTGGCGAAGTGAGGGGGCGGGGACGTTTCAAGAAACAGCTCCGGCCCGTAGATTTGAGCCGCATGCCAGACACAATGCGACGTGCTCCCCCCGGGGCAGAAGGGGCGGGGATACTGCTTTAATCGTCTACCCACATTGCCCCCACCAAGCATCGCTTCTCCTGAATCGATGGGGGGCGGGGGTTGGGCTCATCGAGTTGCTTGAAACCTTTGATCGGCGAGGGCAGAGTTTGGATTCCGCCGCTGAGGGGGCTGGCAGGTCATGGCTGGAGGCACGTGCGCGGCGCAGCGGTGGGGGGCCACGGGACGCACCGAAGTGAGCAGAAAACGCCATGAAATATGAGATCTAGGGAGATCCTGCGCGGCCCCGGCCAAGGTCTCCCCCCCAACACACAACTTTCTTCGTCAGCGGCGAAGCGGCGAACTCCGCTCCAGCGACAAGATACCCCCCAACACGCACACACAACACACACATACGCACTCACGCACGCACGCACGCACACACACACACACACATACGCACACACGCACACACGCACGCACACACGCACACACGCACACACACACAACACACAGACACACACACACACACACACACACCTACGGCAGGCTCGTAGCGTGACGACCTCGGCGCCCGTTCCCGACACCGCGGGGTCATTCCACCTGGAACGATCGGCCGCGTCCGAGACGTCGCACCGCGGAACGTCCACCAATCCTGGGTCGACGGCGGCGCTCCACTCTGGAACGGCGGCGGCGGGGTCGCCGCCGGTCGACACGACGCGAGGCTGCCGATGTCTTTCGTCCGTCCCCCCCCTCTCGGCCGCCCCCGAGCTGTGCCCGCGGCGAAGCCCTGGCGCCCGATGGGTCGCGAGACGAGGGAGGAGGAGGAGGAGGAGGAGGACGAGGGAGGAGCTTTGCAGCTTTGCAGCGCCTCCCAGCGCGGTCAGCGGCGGCCGCGGCCGCCCGCCCGCCGAGGGGAGGGAGAGAAGCAAGTGGCCGACGGCTATGCCGCAAACCACAGAAAGGTGATGGATCCAGCGGTGGCGACGAGCCAAGCGGGAAAAAACACAGAAGCGTCCAGCCGCGTCGACGAGGAGAGAAGAGCAGGCAGGCTGCCCGCTCAAAGCACCAGGCAGGGCAGGTCGTGGGAGCCAACCCCGTCGACCCAGTACATCTTTCTCCAGTCGTTAGCGTAGGCCAGGGACGCAATCCGACTGCGCACTAGGCATCTGGTACCTGGTTGCGCCTTTGGGCTGGGAGACTGGCGTCTCCGTCGCCCAGGGTGTCGGCACACCCTGTTGCAGAAGCTCCGCCCCGTTGTCGAGGAGGAAGGCCACGACGAACACGATCAATGACGGTAGTCTGAGCCTGCTTCGTCGTGGGGTTCACCGAGAAGCCCTCGCACAACGTTCGCAACTTCCGCGCAGCGTGCGGCCGTGCTTGCGCACAAATGCCTGCACACTTGCTGCAGCAGTGGACGCCGTAGGCCAAGAAAGTGTCATGCCCAAGCTCACGGAAAGCCTGCTGCATTGGATCACTGTCAGCGTCGGCAGACGGGCTACCACTATCACGGTCGCCAGAGTGGTGTTCACCACCAGGCTGTGGAACACCAGGCTGGTGAACACCAGGCTCTTGTGCTTCGCGTTGTAGGTCGGCACAGCGGACGGCCACCTGAACTCGCCCATCGGCTAGCGGAGTCCAGGAGAGGCGAGTCGTCTCGAAGAACACCTTCGCCATTGCTCGTGTGATCCGCGCGGGAGTGCACTTCCTGCGCGAACCTGAGCGTAGAGTCGCCAAGGACGCCGCGGTAGAGGCTGTAGCATTACACCCGCGACATCGGCATTGGCCTCGCTGGGCGCAGAACCAGAGGTCATGATCCTCAGGACGACCAAAGACCACAGGGACCATCTGCTGACTGAGCGGCGTCACTGGGGCGTCGTCTCGCCCAAACCGCTGGTAACGGATAACCCTCAGGCAGGCTTGAGAGACCAACTGGAGCACCGTCCTGTGCTGCTTCATGGCTGCCTTGAGCGAGTCCGACAAGGAGCGGGGCATGGCGTGCTGAACAACGCCCAACCTCGCAAAGTAGTCCGCCTAAGCATTGCCAATCCAGTCACAGATGTCCAGCGGGGCCGCCTCCAACAGGTCAGCGGCCGAGCGGTGTGCAGGGGTCCATCGGAACGTCGGGGCGTCCACTGAGGAACGCTCCAGAGCTGCAGTGAGGATATCCCGCCATACGCGCGCATGCTTGGACCTGCTGCAGGCCAATGGCGCCCCCCACTGGTCGGCCTCCTTCACCGAACTCTTGAGGTCCGTGACGAACTCTCGATGTTCGGGATGAATGTCGAGTCCCATCTTAATGGCAAACCGTTCAGCACGCCCCACCGTCTGAACGATGTACGGGAGAGGGCCGCACACGGCCCGAATGGGCATCCAGCAATAAGGATCCAGCTGGACAACGGCTTGACCACATCGACGAATTTCTGGCATGTTCGAGTCATAGCCAGAGCCATCCGTGTAGGAGGTGGGCCCCCAAGTACCTTGAGCATCGCCCCAGTGGAGAACCTCGTTGCCAACGGTGCCCATGGACGGCAAGTAAGCAGGGGGTTCGGGTGCCCCGTAAACGAGGCACGTCTGCTCGTAGTTGGGAGTTCCACTGCCCAGCCCTGCTGCGCGGAGATGTTCACGCACCTCCAGCAACCGCGGAGGGATGGCAAGAAAAGCATGGTCCTTTGAGCGAATCGTGGCGCCGACGCTCTGGGTGCCAGTCGCAGTTGCAGAGTCCAGCCCAAAATCCTGCATGCTCACATCGTCGCCAGGTTCCTGTGGAGGCTCGTCATCCATGGCGTCATCGGGTGCATCACCAACCGCAGGGAAGAACGACTCCTCCTCCATGGCGTCAGGACTGCGCGCCGCGCCTGGGCTGGCACCACCACCAGCCGGCAGAGAGTGAACAGCACGATGGGGAGCTTCAGGGACTCCTTCATCACAGACCCGACTGGTGTTGCCTGAATGCGTGGGTACGATTGACGTCCCATCGCCTGCCAATGGCGTCTGTCCGTGTCGCGGCATGGCTGTGTCCACTGATGGCATGGCGGTGTCTGGCACCCCATCGCATTCGGCCAAGAGGCCAGGACAGTCGTAGAAGACATGGCCCCAGCACGTGCGCCTATCCAACTGAGCACCACATGCGCGACACGGCCTCATGGGCTGGTTAAGCTTCATGTCGCGACGTATTGGGATGGGAAGGTTGTCGGCCCAATGGGCCTGTAGGGCTCCAAGCCGACAAGGGTGGCGGATGCCCTTGATGGCATAGCGCATGCCACTGTGCCACAACTGCGCACCCGTGCTGGTGTACCAGTGTCGCTGAAGCC